AGGGGGGGGTGCCCAGCCCTCCAGGGGCTGGTTCCCTGCCCCACGCGGCCCATGTGGCCCACCAAGAGGGGTGGCCCCTCCCGGTGGACCCCCGGAACCCCTCCGGTGGCCCCGGTACAATACCGATATGCCCCCGAAACTTTCCGGTGTCCGCACGACAACTTCCCATATATAAATCTTTACCTCCGGAACATTCCGGAACTCCTCGTGACGTCCAGGATCTCATCCGGGACTCCGAAAAACATTCGGTAATCACATACAAGTCTTCCTAATAACCCTAGCGTCACCGAACCTTAAGTGTGTAGACCCTATGGATTCGGGAGACACGCAGACATGACCGAGATGGCTCTCCAGTCAATAACCAACAGCGGGATCTGGATACCCATGTTGGCTCCCACATTCTCCTCGATGATGTCGTCGGATGAACCACGATGTCGAGGATTCGAACAACCCCGTATACAATTCCCTTTGTCAATCGGTACGTTACATGCCCGAGACTCGATCGTCGGTATCCCAATACCTCATTCAGTCATGCACCGCATACTCTGCACACCCACGACAACATCTTCTACACACACTGAATTGACTACGTAGCAGCACAGAAAATAATTTTGTTGTCAAATTTCACTATATTATGGAAAGCATGATGAAAGAAACTTTCATGATTACAAATGCCTAATTATGTTTCCTATGGGCATCGGTTAAAAAGTCAAGAGTGGGGTTAAGATCACCATGAATATATAGCCTTCTTGCCATAACGTATCCTCAATCTAGTCAGTTGTCCTTTTTTGTATGGGCGCATGAGACATAGCTTTGAGATGCATATTACTAAATTAAGCAGAGCAGACCACACACAAAAGCAAATGATAGTTTTTATTGGTAAATCATTTGGTCTGGGTGTATGGAAATACCCCATGGCTCTGGAGATGGAGGATGGCCACAACAATCAAAAGAAAAACATGCAGCTTTGACATTCAGTTGGTTCAGCGATGCTCAAAGTATATGATATAAAGGTCTGTGAATATCCAATACATAACCATGTTCACAAGAGTGAAAAGAGATAACAAAATCACTAACATCTGAGATCAACATGAATCCCTCTAACAATTTAGAAATAGAGAGAGGGGAGAAAGGGAGTCGATCCTACCTTGGTGTTGTGCAACCTTCATCTTTCTCCACTTGCTGCCCTCCGCCGCTGCATCAAACCAAACCCTAGGTCAGGGCCAGGGGCGACGCGAAGACCAAGTAACACAGCTGAAAAAAAATCGAATTCACTCCAACCAAGCTCAACTCTTCAGGTGAATAAAATCAAATCTTTCAATACAATTTTTCTTCAGGTTTTCTAGTTTTTCTTAGGAGACAACAAGTAACACAGCTGAACAAATTGAATCAAAGGAGATTAAAGGGCTGTTGTAGTACAAGGAAAGCGAAGAGAGGACGAGAGGGGGCCAGACCTCCATGGACATGCATATCGCCCCACCTCCCTTGCCATTATTCTTCAAGTAACACAACTGAACAAATGTTTATGGTTGCTTGTTATGATCACATCAATAATACAACAAATACATCAAGTACTCCAATCCTAACGGGGAAATGACACACTATCGTCTCATGTAAGGTTAAGTGTAGGTAAAAAAGAAAACAAAAGAATTCACGGTTTCTTCAATTGTAAATTCATTTGAAAGCAAGTGGTAAACTGGTAAAGCTTTGGAGTCTTGCACAGGGTTGAAAATTTTAAGCCTCGCATTCACAAGCAATCTTAAGGAGGGCCAACATAATTGAAACCAAGAAGAACTAAACAATATATCAGATAGAGAGAAATACCTGCACTGGCCAATGATAACACGGTGGCATGTTTGGGAATAATTATGAAAGGTTCCTATTCATCTTCACACGGTGGCATGTTTCAACAATAATTCTGCCACTGATAGAAAGAATGCTAGCGAGTGAGCACTTCTTGTCAATGTATCTCTTTGAAATGAAATAAGTTAATAATCAGATTTCATCCTCCCTAGAATGGAGGAAACTAATAATTTGATTACATTCTTATAAGCAACATATTGCCTAAATAATTCTACAGGCTAGTTTGAGTAAGAGGGCACGAGGTGAGACACTCTCCATCCTGGAACCAACATGCTATAATTTCCACCCAAAAGAATATAACACTACATATAGATATAGAGGTCTCGAGAGTTTACACACTATACACTGAGATTCTTGTTCACTTGTAGGTAGAGCAGCAGCATACCAAATAAGGAGGTGCACACAGATCAACAGACACAATCATGGTCACAAAATATCCACACAGGACATAACTCAAAAAAGGGAACAAAAATTGATGAAAAGGCAAAAGCAAAGAAGGCACCCAAAAAAAGGAAGAACATTATCAGTGTCTTGTTCCCATAAAGCATTACTGATCAATAAAATCAATCAAACAAATATTACCTAGATCCTCCTAAATTCGAAGAGAGGTAGCAAAGCAAAGAGAGACATTACTTTAGTGTCACTTACCAATATTGATAAATTTTATGAACTAAAATTATTATTATCACAAGTAATAACAGTTGTAATATAAATAAAAACGAGAAGGCGGCCAAAAGATAATTTGATTTCCTTCTAATTTTCCTGAGGTGAAGACAGACACGAACATGAGCAACCAAACTGAACCGGGCCAAACTGAAGCTGCAACAAGCAGTCTTGATCTTGACTGAGTAAATGTTCAGTGTGAGTACCAGCTACTCACCCATGTTCTTCTCTGAACATGGCCATGATTCAACACATTTTAATCATTTCAACATATTTTGAATCATGTGCTTGACCAATTCGAGTACATTTCAGTTCAGTTCTGACGATGACGACACGACAACACACTTTGACAACCAGTACTCAATCTGCTACTGTTATTTAGCACTTGTAAACAATAGGCATAGCACGGCTGGTGTGTACATGCAGTTTTGTGTAAGCAGAGAAGATTTGTGTAACATGCAGTTTTGTCATTTTACCTTGATTGCCGTGCTCAAACCATTCCACACTCCAGCAATAAAACTTGCGGGTGCAGATATGTGCATAGATCCTTTAGTCCGGCTATTTACAACCGATGCCGCCAGTGTACTCAGCTGCTTCCTGAACATCAGTTCAAGCAAGTACAGAGGTTTCAATAAAATTCAAGATTTCCACAATATATGTTGAATATACAAATTAATCCAAAAATCAAATAAGCAAAAGAAAATCACTATATTGAATATACAGAGTACTCCACATGGTCCATATGTAGAAGCTAGCCACCAGAGTTGCATTTGTGAACAAGTTCAAAGGATAAACCATCATTTGATTAGGAGCAATTGCTACCTGAGCAGTCTGCAAGGGTTTGCATTATTTTGAGATGAATTGACCATAACTGAGCTTCCCCGCGAACACTTGATTACAGAGAAGAACATGGGTGGGTAGCTGGTACTCACACTGAACATTTACTCAGTCAAGATCAAGACAGAATGAAAGATACAAAAAAGATCTATTAACAAAGCAGTAGATGCATAGGACCAAGCACAAGTTCTTTCAGTCAAGATCTTTGTTGAGTCAAGTTGATGTTCAGAACCTGTCAATTTCTGTCAGGTTTTGATCTGTCAAGTTGATGTTCAGTCAAGATCAAATTTCTGTGACCAAATGATCTTAGACTTACTCTTAACTATTGGATCATGAAATTGCAGTGATAAACATGATAAACAATACCAGGGACCAGCAAAAGAGGGGAGCCGCACCTTGGCAAGTGGGGAGAGAGCACCCACGACGGCGAGGAGGCACACGCGGCCGCGGGGACTGGGTTGGGCTGTGGGCGGACGGGGGCGGGGGGCTGGCATCTTGGACCAGTCGGGGAGGTGGCGACGCCTAGCGGACTCAGCGGCGTACGCGGCCTCGATGGCCTGGAGCTCCGCCTTGGCCTCGGCATCTCGGCGACTCATACGGCGGCGCGCGCTTAGAGAAGACCGGCTTCGTGGTCGACGGTGTCCAGCCAGCGAGGAGATGATCGACGACGCGCGGGGGCAGCTCCGGCTCCCCGCCCTCAGGGAAAGAGGAAACGGCCCGACGGCCCGACGGTGAGCAAAGGCGGAGGCGGCGGCGCGACAGGGAGTGTGCGAGCGCGGGGCTAGGGTTCACAGACGGACGGGGCGGGGCGGGCGAGGCCCGGGGGCATCGGCCACGGCGAGCGGGTTGGGCGGGGCGGCGAGGACTGAGGGAGGGAGAGGGAGAGGAGAGGGCGGGGCGATGCGGGCGAGGCGGCGAGGACGAGGGAGGGGGCGCTAGTGCGGGCTGGGGAGCGGCTAGGTCATCTCCACGCGGGCCGGCGCCTTTTATACCACGTGAGTGAAATGTCGAAAATGCCCCCGGGGGGCAGGAAAATTACGTGCGGTGGCACAATTGAGGTGAAACTATTCATTTCTATAGTGCCCATCCCAGATCTGACGGACGAGACTCTCCAGCGGCTTGATCCAATGACCCAGATCGCATCAAGCAGCCAGATCCAACGGCCCAGAATTCAAATTGCTGTGAAAGCTTGTAGGAACATCCTTCTCTTATCTCTTGATGGCCTAATATGGTTGGCGAGTCCCTACATCGGGTGGGCACAGGCTTGTCATACTCACGCCCGGTATGGCGGCCTCCCACCTGGCGCGTTGTGAGAGGCCAGCACGAGGGCCATCCCACGAGCACAACCCATCGATCTTATCCGCAGCGGGGCCCACCTGCGCCCCCGCCAACGCCTTGCAACCCCGCAAGGAGACATTTCAGTATGGGCCCAGCTGCATTCCCACAGCGCTCCGTAGACCAGGTTCACGGGGCACAGTCTCTTGAGGGAAAGGCCAAGCCGCTCTATAAATAAGCTCCTGCTCGTCTCACTTGCACTCTTCCCCTTCTCTCAGATCCGAAAACTCGGGGAGACTGGTAGTTGGCTGTTCGGATCGGTCCATCCATCTCAGTGGCAGTCTGGTAATTGGGGACGAGGTATGGGCCTCCTCGACAAGTTGTGGGACGACACCGTCGCGGGGCCCCAACCGGACACCGGCCTCGGCCGCCTCCGCAAACTCGCCGCCCGCCCCGCCGCCGTCAAGATCAACGGTGACCGCTGCCCGCTAAAACTCGACATATTGTTAACCCCCGCCAGATCTTTGTACCATCAATCTGACCAACTGTTGTGTTGTCGTTTTTTGTCGCGTTGGGTCTCCCGTTCAGATGTGGCTCCGGGCGCCGCGACGGTGATCCCACATACGACGCCGGCCGGCGGCGAGGATGCGCCGATGAAAGTCACACGCAGCATCATGATTAAGCGGCCGGCGGGGTACCCCTCGTCGCCGAGGAGCGCGGCCAGCACGCCGCCAGCCTCGCCGCTAGGATCCACGCCGCCCATCTCCCCGTTCGCGGGCGGCGGTGAGTTCCCGTGCCCCTCATCCAACTTCTCGCATTAATATTTTTTTTACGGTAGGGGCAGTTCGGCCATTTCGTAGCCGCGTCCATGTGTGCGACGGGGAATGCCCCGGATGTGGCTTTTGTGCTGGAGTTCGGAAGGGTCTAGACGGGGCTAGGGACATTTTGGACATTTCTGCCCGGGCAAGTGCTTTAGCTCTCGGGTCTCTTTCGTGGGATCATGGCTGGATATCATCGTGTTCGATAAGTTACTATTTATGTGGTGCCTTTGAAATGCAGCAGCAACCGGATAAGTGTAACTATCAGGCTGTAAGGTTTGCCTTCCAAGAGAAAATAGTGACGCCCTTCTGTTTTCTGTTCGTAGAAGAACAAAAAATGGATAAGTTTGATCTGTACCAGTATGGAGCTGCTTCATCTAGTACTCCTTGTGTGCGTGAAGTTGTCAATGGGGTGTTGGCCTAATTGAAGCCAGCTCTCCCGACCCCACTTGACGTTGGATAGCGAAGCCAGCAATGGACAAACCAAGAGCATAGATCCAGTAATACTATTTCTAATTGGCCACCAAGTCTCCAGTGTACACAAGAGTTCATATACTTTTGAAGGAACATACCCCCTCCGTTCCAAAATACTTCGAACTTCTACGTTTGTCCTAAGGCAAATTTCTGTAAGTTTGACCAATTTTGTTGAAAAATATACCAAAATCTACAATACCAAATGAGCTTCATTAGATTAGTAATGACATATATTTTCATACTATATATATTTGAGAGTGTAAATATAAAGAAACTTTTCTATAAAGTTGTTTAAACTTAGAGAAGTTTGACTTAGGACGAATCTATAACTAAGTATTTTGGAGCAAAGGCAGTATTATGAAAATCTGATATGTATATTGTGAATTTGTGCGCCGTGGGTGCAGTTAATTGACTTAGTCATATGCTTTGGTTATACTTTCGCTTACAAGGAACCTCTTTGTATGTATTTCTGTATGGAAACAGATACTTTGATGTGGAACAGGTTCTAGTATATAATTTTGCAGTTCTTTGCTTGAGGCTGAATCAGTTGATCTATCTTGGGTAAAATATTACTCCCTCCGTCCCAAAATTCATGTCTTAGATTTGTCTAGATACGGATGTATCTAATACTAAGACATGACTTGATACATCCATATTTAGACAAATGTAAGACACGAATTTTGGGACGGAGGGAGTACGAGTTAGACAGTGATGAGGTTGTAGATGATTTCAAGAAACAGGGATACTTGTACAATTAATCATCGTTCCGTTTTCCAAGTCTACAACTTTGTTTGATTTGTCAGGTTCCTGTTGGAAGATTTACTTATTATCCCTTGTTGATGCTGTCTTTGTCTACTCTCTTGAATCGGTCACCAATTATCGATGAGTTTGTAAGAATCACATGGTAGTATGTGGGAAAACATGGATCTAGTAGTACATAGACGATTCCCCTCACTATATGAAATGCATGCGGCATGGAAATGTTCATTCATTTGTATATTTATTTATATTCTGGAGACGTCATCTTTTGTGGTTCATTAATTAATTGTTCTTCTTACCTAAACTCGCACGGACTATGTCTACCAGGTGGTCGCTTCAGAAGGAAATCATCATCAGATGCGTACGAGAGGGCTACACCACCTGGGGCGTCGACCAGTCACCCTCCTCCACCCTTTGAAGTGTAACTGACCAGCACGCTCATGCTCGTTTTTGCTCCTCTCCCGCTCTACTTAATGCAAGCCCGAGGAGGAAGAGAGGACGTATCAGAGAAATCGAGAAACGCCAAGGATCTGCCTTTCCTCTACTGTGATAGTATAATATAGATGAATGTGTAGTGTTCTGTTTCTACTATATATGCAGTGCATGCGTGTATGGTTATGTGTAGAGAAGGTGTTGAAAGTTGCTGCTGCTGTGCTGTGCTGTGTTAGTATGTACTTAGGTCACCCCTGGGCTGGCACGCAGCTCCTCGTTTGTGTTTTGTCTACTATGTTGTGGAGGCCTCGTCCTTCCATCACGTTCGTGTGTGGTGCGGATGGAAGCTGTAATGTTAAGTAGGGGGATGTGATACGGTGTACGTAATATGTGTAATTTTGCTTGATGGTGTTATCTCGAGTAGTTCCCGGTGTTTGCTTGAACTTTTCAGTATTATCTTCGTGTGTTTGCCATGATAATCCCTAGTACTTTCGTCTGCACAGTTACTCTCTGGACGCTGTTTGTTCTAAATAAATCTTGTAAATGGTCCGTAACATCTGAGAGTGAATACTACTTGCCTCTGCTCTCAATGAAGATTGCTCCTAACACCGTGTCAGTGGCTGGTATTCCTATGTAAAACACATAAGATTTAAATTGGGGCATCGAAAGGTTTGAACTAGACACGACCGTCCGTTCGTAGGATCGCATTGCGAGTTGACTCACCCGGCTTTCCCACCTCCCTTGCTGTAGGCAGCTTCTCAACTTTGCACATACCGCAGCAATGCAAACAGTTCAGAGATGGAGATAGAGAAATAGCAATGCTCATTTTAGCAATGCTTAGTGTAGGGAAAGAAATGTTAGTTTAGTTAAAGCTAGTGTGTGTATTGTTAGTGCTTATGCTTGTATTTCAGATCATCAGTGTTGTTCACTGAAGAATGTAGTTTGTGTGCCTGATGATCAGATTATATGCACTAAAAATGGAGTTGTTGTGCAATTCAAAATCCAGTATATGTGCACTGAAAAATGTAGACCTGAGCAATGACAAATGTTAATTCTTTATTTGCAATGTGACTTCATAAACCATTGCAGGTCATAGCTGACATTGACAAAGAACAGCCACAAAGCAAACAATGATAGAAATACATAACAACATTCCAGAGAACTCATTCAGATTTGACATAGAAGTGTCTGGTTCATTTGACATGGAAGTGCATAATTCAGTTGATATAGAGTGCATCAAGTAGACAAAAGTAGATAACAACACAGGGTCAGCCATGATCACACAGTTTAGGCCCAATGATCATACATGACACTGATGGACAAGTTTATAACCAAAAAAGTCCTAGATGCACCCATAACATCCCTACCCCTACCCCTGCTCTGTCAGGCAGTCAAACATGCTAGTTTTGAAAGGCCTGTTGCCACTTTGTCCTATGAATTCTGTCCTAGGTCTTTTGAATGGTTTGTTGGTAGTAGGTCTTGCTTGCTTCTCAACCAGTGCTCTTCTCAGCTAGGGGCTTCTTAGCTTTTCCTTCTCTAGCTTTCTTCTCAGCTAGTGCTTGCACCTTTGCTGCAACCCTGTTTTCTTCCCCTGCTCTAGCTTTCTTCTCAGCCAGTGCACGCTTCTTAGCTTCTTGCTCTTGGGCTTTTTTCTCTGCAGCAGCTTGTTTCTTTGCTTCCTTCTCTTTTGCTCTCAACTCAGCAGCCTATAGCATTATCAGTTCATCAGCTTGTTTCTACTCTCAATTGGCCTTTCTCTTACCAATCCCTTTTTACTCTGGCATTGGGCTTGTGAAGGATGCTTTGGCCTTGGTGATGCAAGATCAATTTGAGTTGCAATGAATTGATTCCGAGGTAGTGGACAAGGTGTGACCCTGATCTGTGATTGCCGAGTTAGTTCTCCCTGCAATTAAATAACTGATCAGTGCAACTAAACAACTGAGTGCATTACAAGAGATTAAAAAACAAGTGAGCACTGAATTAACATGGTGTACCAAAGTACTAATGGCACTGTCCTCTAGCATGCTTGCAGGCTCAAATATGTTGTGATCCTATAAAAGGCATTTAAATGAGCATTCTATGTGACTACAGGATATATTGTCTGCATACACGTCTAAATGTGTCCGTGGACATTTGATGATGCCTTTGATATATTGTCCGCGTCCATATCGACGTTTGATGATGCCTTGGAGATGGATTACCTGTGTGATTACAGGATCATCTTGTTCTGGCTCAGGTTGTCATCTATCAGCTCCAATCCTTGTGTTCTCTTTCAGCTTGGGATCAATCCCATTCTTGTAATAGTACATCCACCCCTGTTATGATTAGAACCTCCGCAGTGGTTGTAGTGCATTATTCTACAATGTCTTGGCACCATTTTCTCACCATTTGGCCCTTCCATCTCCTCTAGTTCCTTTTTTCCGTTTTCTTCTTATACTTTGGTGCGAGTAACGTCCTTCCATTCACCCTGGTCCAGTCCTTCCTTTCTGTTGGGAGTAAACCACGCCTCCAAGCGGTGACTGGCGTGCGCACGCGGGTATGCGCTCTATGTCCGGCTCGTAAGGCAGCGGCCATTGGCGAGAGTGGAGGGCTGGTGTGTTGCTTCGTTAGTAGCTAGCCCGCATGGCCGGGTCTCGTGTGTAACGCGCATGCACCGTAGTTAGCAGGTTAGTTGGTTAGTGCATGCATGCATCAGGAAATGGACGTGCCTGTAGGGTAGTGGGTGCTACGTGCGTGCGTGACTGAGAGTGTGGCGGTAGGTCCTGAGGCATCCCGAGAGTTTTGAAGACGAAAGAGGGGATGCCTTCCGGGGCATCCCTAAGCTTAGACGCTTGATTCTTCCTTGAATATTACCTTGGGGGGTGCCTTGGGCATCCCCAAGCTTAGGGTCTTTCCGCTCCTTATTCTCCTCATATCAATATCTCACCCAAAACTTGAAAACTTCAATCACACAAAACTTAACGGAACTTCGTGAGATAGGTTAGTATGATAAAGAGTAAACCATTCATTTTGGTATTGTCAAAGACAAGGTTCATAATTTTTCTCACACAATGCCTACTGTACCATATCATTTCTACAATTTATATTGAGAAATAGAAGCCATAGAAACTAGAAAACAAGCAAACTATGCAATGAAAACAGAATCTGTCAGAAACAGAATAGTCTGTAATGATCTGAACAACAACCGTACTTATGTTACTCCAAAAATTATGATATAAATTGGTGGACGTGAGGAATTTGTCTATTAGTCTTTTGCAAAAAGAATCAACTCAAAATCGCTCTTATGTAAAAAATGGCAGCTAATCCCATGAGCGCAAAGTTTCTGTTTTTACAGCAAGATCACATTAACTTTCACCCAAGTCTTCCCAAAGGTCTTATTTGGAAATTTATTGAAACAAAAGCTATAAAACATGATTACTACTGTATCTTAATCATGTAAACACACAAAGACAGCAAGGGTAGATATTGGCTTGTCTCCCAACAAGCGCTTTTCTTTAATGGCTTTTAGCTAGGCATGATGATTTCAATGATGCTCACATAAAAGAAAAGAATTGAAACATAGAGAGAGCATCATGAATAATATGACTAGCACATTTAAATCTAACCCAATTCCTATGCTTAGGGATTTTGTGAGCACATAATTTATAGGAACAAGAATGAACTAGCATAGGAAGGCAAAACAAGTATAACTTCAAAACTTTAAGCACATAGTGAGAAGACTTGATATTATTGCAAATCTTACAAGCATGTATTCCTCCCTCATAATAATTTTCAAAGGCATCATGAATGAATTCAACCATATAACCATCACATAAAGCATTCTTTTCATGATCTACAAGCATAGAAATTTTCTACTCTCCACATAAGCCAAATTCTTCTCATTCGGAATAGTGGGATCACTAATTCCTAAAGTTGACACTCTTCCAAACCCACTTTAGATGATAGTATTATTCATACTCCAAAAGATATAAGTGAAGTTTATGGAGCATTCTTCAATTAATATAGACTAACCAATATCTAAGCTCAAAATATGTAAGTGAATCACACGAAGCATTCTATAAAACCATACTTAAAAGATTTAAGTGAAGCACAAAGAGCAATTCTATAAAATCATACTTAAAATATATAAGTGAAGCACATGAAGTATTATATAAATCAATGAATGGATAACTCATACTAGCATGGTTCTTAAAGAAAAAAAAACACAAAGGACACAAATCATGTGAACAAAAAAAAACCCGAGGTATACCGATATTTGTTGAAGTAGAAAGATGGGATGCCAACCGGGGCATCCCCAAGCTTAGATGCTTGAGTATCCTTTCAAATATTTACTTGGGGTTCCTTGGGAATCCCCAAGCTTGAACTCTTGCCTCTCCTTATTCTTCTCATATTGATATCTCCTCGATCTTCGAACACTTCATCCACACAAAACTTTAACAAAAACTTTGTGAGATCCGTTAGTGTAATAAAGCAAACTACCACTTTAAGGTACTTTAATGAACTCATTCTTTATTTATATTGGTGTTAAACCTACTGTATTCCAACTTCTTATGGTTCATACCCTCCGATACTAGCCATAGATTCATCAAATTAAGCAAACACCACGCGAAAAACAGAATCTGTCAAAAACAGTACAGTTTGTAGTAACCTGGAAGTTTGGTAAACTTATGTAACTCCAAAATATGAAATAAATATGAAAATTTGAAAACTTTGTACAGAAGTAATGTGCAAAAAGTTTCAGACCCATTTGACCTTCCAGTAAAAAATGTAAAATCACGCGCCACAGCCAAAGTTTTTGTTTTTGTTTTGCACATAGTAAACAAGCAATCCTATCATCCTAAAACCAAAGCTTGGCACATTATTTTTTATAGGGATAATTGCATTTTTACCCCTAGTTGGTTTCTACCCACGGGTTTTGCCCTTACTTTTCGAGCTTGCTCAGTTTTGCCCTTACTTTTTCCATCGAGGTCCCTCGAATGCCCATTGACCGTTT